ACTGCCCTTGAGAGAACAGCTCTGAAAGAACTTGTGAGTGACCCAAGGTCACACCAGCAGCTGCATGTGGAGGAGTGGGTGAATCAAACCCGGTTCTCCCAGATTAGAGTCTGCACTCTTATCCACCGCAGTCTCATGTCTTCATGAACTGAAGCTTTGAAAATGAATTCTATCATGAATTCTATGACCTCTCCTGGCTCTCGAATTCCCACAAGACCTTTTTGCCATCTTCCCCACATAACCAGCCGAGTGGGTAAAACTCACCGAAACGTAGACAGCAGCAAAAGCCGAGAGCGTGGCATGCTGGGAGGGGAATGTTTTCCTGAAAAGAAAATAATCGGTTGTCCCTTGCAACAGAGTCCGTGACTCTCAGGTGATGGATCACTAATAATGTGCATGGAGAGACCCTGAATCTTGTGCGGGGGGGGGGGAGGCGGGTTTGAAGAGGGGAATTACGCTTCTGTGCAATGAGCAGAAAGATGGCATGAGAGAAGCTAAATACATTTTCTTGGGTTGATCCATCCAACTAGGGTTGCCAACTCCAGCTTGGGAAATTCCTGGAGATTTAAGGGTGGAGCCTGGGGAAGGTGGGATTTGAGGAGGGGAAGGGGAGGGGAGGGACCTCAGTGGGGTATAATGCCATGGAAGGTACCCTCCAAAGCTGCAATTTCCCCGAAAGGAGCTCATCTCTGTAGTCTGGAGATCAGTTGAAATTCCGGGAAAACTCCAGGCCCCTTCGGGACGCTGGTAACCCTAAAGCCAGCTCTGGTGCCCACCACTCCTTTATTGGAAACCCACTCCCCCAAAAAAGGGAAGGAAGAAACGTGGAGCGTTTGTGGGATACTGAGGTTTACAATAAACAGCAAATAATTATTTAGCAGCATAGCTTATCTTGCTAAACATGCAAAGGGACAGAGCCTCATCAGAGGCTCCTAAGTAAGCTCAATAGTCACGGGATAAAAGTACAAGTCCTTTTGTGGATCAAAAATGGGCAAATTAATAGGAAACAGAGAATGAGTATAAATGGGCAATTTTCTCAGTGGAGGGTGGTGAGCGGTGGGGTACGGCAGTGATCAGTACTCGGTCCGATGCTTTTTAACTTGTTCATTAATGATTTGAAGTTGGGAGTAAGCAATGAAGTGGCTAAATTTGCAGATGGCACGAAGTCGTTCAGGGTGGCGAGAACCAGGGAGGATTGTGAGGTGCTCCAAAGGGATCTGTCGAGGATGGGCAGTGGGCGTCACCGTGGCAAATGGGGTTTGATTGTGGCCAAGTGCAAAGTGATGCCCATTGGAGCCAAAAATCCTAACTATAAATACACGTTGATTGGGTCCGAACTGGCAGAGACTGACCAAGAGAGGGATCTTGGAGTCGCAGTAGATAACTCACTGAAAATGTCGAGACAGTGTGTGACTGCGATTAAAAAAGCCGACGCTATGCTCGGGATTATTAGGAAGGGAATTGAAAACAAATCAGCCAGTATCATAATGCCCCTGTATAAATCGATGGTGCAACCTCATTTGGAATACTGTGTACAGTTCCGGTCACCACACCTCAAAAAGGATATTATAACATTGGAAAAACTGCAGAAAAGGGCAACTAGAATGATAAAAGGGTTGGAACACTTTCCCTATGAAGAAAGGTTAAAACGTTTGGGGCTCTTTAGCTTGGAGAAACGACGGCTGAGGGGTGACATGATTGAGGTTTATAAGATTATGCATGGGATAGAGCAGGTCGAGAAAGAAGTACTTTTCTCCCTTTCTCACAATACAAGAACTCGTGGGCACTCAATTAAATTGCTGAGCAGTCGGGTTAGAATGGATGGAAGGAAGTCCTTCTTCACCCAAAGAGTGATTAACACATGGAATTCACTGCCACATGAAGTGGCAACGGCTACAAGCATGGACGGCTTCAAAAGGGAATTGGATAAACATCTGGAGCAGAGGTCCATCAGTAGCTATTAGCCACAATTTATAGATAGGAACTCTCAGGCTGGGGCAAGGGATGCTCTTGTATCTTGGTGTTTGGGGGGGGCAACAGTGGGAGGGCTTCTAGTGTCCTGGCCCCACTGCTGGACCTCCTGATGGCATCTGGGTATTTTTGGCCACTGTGTGGCACAGAGTGTTGGACTGAATGGGCCATTGGCCTGATCCAACATTGGCTTCTCTTATGTTCTTGTGTCTGGG